AAAACAACAACTTTTAATCACTTAAAATTAAATCATAGCCTAAACCATGCCATGCAAGGAAATTGACATACTTCATCAGACCACCAATTCATTGGTCTGCAGTCCTGTCCCTTAAGTCACAGGGGCATTCAAGGGAAATGTATAATTATACAGAAAAAGAATAAAGAGATCTCTTACTCTGCCATGCCCCGAACTCATTGGAGTTACACTGCTTTATGTACAGTGTCTATGTTTCAGCATGGAGCGTGACTTTCAAGAAAATAAAAAGAACCACAGAGATTTGAAATACATATAAAAAACAGAGAGAAGAGGGATTTTTCTTATGCTCATTTCCAAGTTACCACACTCCGTCCGTATGAAAATGAAAAGACAAGATCCCGCTCCTGTGCTAGATAGAGCAGCCTCTCACTTTAGGAGAGGGGAGTCTCTTACCTGTGGGGCGGCTCCTGGTAGGTGTAGATGCCGGCGTGACGCTTCGCCGTGCGGTACTTTTTGCCGGACTTGGCAGATTTGGCGGCAGGGGAGCCCGTCGATGCTGCCATGGTGGCAGCTGCTGCCCGCACCAGGTGGAACTCTGCTGCGCTGGAAGGCAGCTTGGAGCTGAGGTCAGATGTCTCATAAGCAGCCAAATGTTATTAAGCAGAGAGCAGCGAGTGCTGTGAGCCCTGCGGAGCAGAGGATCACTGCCTGGTGCTCCAGCCCGGAGAGGACCTGCTGTCTGGCAGAGCCTTAAAGCCACAGTGTGCAGCAGCCCTGCCTCGGTGCCTCAAAGCCAAGTGCCCACATCAAGGTGGGAAGCTGAGTTCAAAGGTGGTGCAGCTGCAGTCCTTAATTCACAGCCAAGTTTCCCTTGCTGTGGGGGAGGTATTCCCTCAAAGCACCATCCCACTGGCCCGTTCTGGGGGATGTTCCCAGTGATCGCACTGGGTGTACTGTTGACATCTCTGCTTCACATGCTTGAGAGAAGGTTCTTGCTCAGGTAAAGCGAAATAGTTTACCTTTTGGCCTTTACTCACAGAGTAAAATGCAATATCGTTCTCCCAACAGACTTCCAGATCCTCTCCAGGAGGACAGCCCTGACAGAACATGACGCTGCTGCTTTCCTGGGTCCAAGGCCCAGCCATCGCTTCCATTCCTTTTACCTCAGTTTATTGACTTGCCTCTTGAAGATCTCAAAATACCTTTTATTCAGACAAGTACAGATTACTAAGCAATTTGCTTTTTCTTGGTAGATGCAATATCTTAATCATGCTCAATTCCATTAATTATTGTAGTACTTTTAACATTTACAATAAGCACTGACTAGATTATTCATATGTTATAATACTGGTTATTCCTAGAGCTAAACCACTGGAAATTACCACCTCCTCATGCTCTTTTTTTCCCATTTCTTCAGCTCTACTACTTAACTAACTGTATTACAAAACTAATTCAATAGATACTAGAAGTTTATTTAACACAGAGAATCACTTATAAAAAGAACAAATGGACTGGTGCTCTGAGCTGGAGAATCCTGTATTGAATGGTTATTTTCTCTTTCTCTCTATATCCTCGGGCAAATCCTTGCACTATTATGCCTCATTTCCCCTCCTTAGATAACATTTCTGCATTTCATAGGAATGATGTACTCACTGGAACCACATGGGCATGAACTTCCTAGTTCACTCCACGTATTTCAAGTGCATAATAAAACTGAAAACAAAACACCAGTTTTCAGTTTTGACATCTCAACCCAATGCAGTACCAGTAGCTTTGACTCAGTTTCCGTCTACTCAAAAAATAATCCAGCCATTTATTTAATCCAGGCAACCAACAATAGGACAAGAGGACGTGGGCTCAAGCTCTGCCAGGGGAGGTTTAGGTTAGATGTTAGGAAGAAATTCTTTACGGAGAGGGTAATCAGGCATTGGAACAGCCTACCCAGAGAGGTGGTGGATTCACCATCCCTGGAGGTTTTTAAGCAGAGATTGGATGTGGCCCTTAGTGCCATGCTATAGTAATTGGAGTTGGATCAGGGGTTGGACTTGATGATCTTGGAGGTCTTTTCCAACCCAATCTATTCTATGATTCTATGATAACCATTGGGCAACTGACATACTGTACATGCCAGCAGTCATATTTTCATAGTGGAGAGTCCCCTGACACCCTTCCTGTAGTCAGCAGCAACACCACCTCTCTACCAGCATCTCTGTGATACTGGCCAGGACAGAATAGACTGCTCCAAGCTCCACAGCAGCTGAATTTCCCATGCTTTTGTCCATCATAGAAGTTGTGGGTATTCTGGGTCCCATTACTGAAACAGAGCACACAAAAAGACTTGACTTTAGTAGTTTCTGTGGCCATAATTTGATGCTCAACAAGTCAGAGAGAAAGGAAGAGTTTACAGCAAGTTTTCACTTGTTCCTAACTTGGTATTTTCTCTCCTTAATAGCTCCGTGCACAGTGCAGCAAGGGTTTTGATCGCATAAATCAGTGGTCTGTTGTAGTTAACTTTTATTTGCAGCCTCTGACAAGAAAGAACATGAAGTTCCCGTAGAGAATTGCACAGGCTGCTTTTTCTCTCTGTCCTGAATTAATCTAAAATATTGCCACTTTCGGAGAAATTTTACTTTTGCATTGTCATGGTTCTGTCCACTGTCCTACATTTACCGAGTTGAAGGGCTGAGTAGCCACAAGCCTTATTATTTGTTACTTGTATGGTTTTACAGTATTGAAAGAGTAAGTCCATTTGGTGTCATTTGCTCCACACTTTTTAGACGAAAAGTCAGCACTAGAAAAAGACAATTCTGCGTTTCCAAAATGTAAGCTTGCATTAAAGCCCAGAGTTCACTTGGTGTATCTTCTTTGAAGCTTCCCCAGGAATCTGGGAGTTTCATTAACACATAGCAGAAGAGCCCCGGAGTTGCAAAGAAATGCTTTTATTCAGAATTCAGTAAAATCAGTCAGCTGTATTCTGCACCACAGAATGTCATATGATACGTGACTTTTAAGCCTGCTAAATCCCACTTACTACATGGGTTTATTTCGTGAATGGAATTCTCTAGTTCCAGCTCCATTCTGAGCATCTCTTGTACCCACTTCCTTTAGTCACAATGAAGACTAAAGGCTGCCGACTCCACTTTTCAGCTTCCCAAAAATGGACCACAAAAAACCTGGACTTTTTCTGTGCTTATGTTTTATTATTGTTCATTTGAAGTCTGTAAAATAGAGGCTCTAACAGCCTTGACATCTCAATCTTTCTGTACCACTCGAAATCCACGAACCTTTGAATGGCTTTTCTATTTGGTTTCCAGTTCTCAGGACAAAAGATACATCCTACTATCCTCTCTGTGTCAGACCATTCATCAAGTCAAAGCAAACAGCCAAAAGGAATGGGTATCAGCCCAGAAACACGTCTCCATTAAAAGTCATATCACCTCTTTCCAGCTGGAAATACAAAAGAACTACTCTGAATGCCTGAAACACCCTTTAAAGCTTTGATGCTCAGAATATGGCAAACAAACACACAGAACGCCTTTTTTTCAATCTGCCACAAGACAGTTCTCAGTTCTGTAACTTAAAAGCAGTAATATGTTAGTTCAGATGTACTTCCATGACTGTAGTTATTTTTCTTTGCATCTTAGCCAGTGGCACAACACTGGGGGCCAGATTCTGCTGCCTTAGCTCATGAAAATAATTGCCTCTCTAGTCAGACCAATCTACAGCAGTCCATTAGCTGCCTGCTTGTTCCAG